GAAGGGCTTCTGTCCCTCACCTTTCTGAACCCCGTGCCCTCCACTGCTCTCCTTGCCCATCTCATGAGATCAAACAGAATAACACATGTCGCAGAATGCTGAAACCATGAAGGCAGGCTCCGGAGTGCCGATGAGGTTCCAGAAGGAACTTGAGAACCATTCCCCAGGGCCGCTCCATCACCCACATCTATCCGGTTGTGTCTTCTTGCCATGGCTCTGCCACCACGCCCTCCTGCCTTTTGTGCGTGCTTCTTTAGTTCTCCATGTGGCAGGAAGAGTAAGCTTTATAAATACGGGCCCGAAAGCCTCAGGAGCCTGCCAGTGCCTTTCAGACCTTGCCAGGACCTGTCAGGGGACCTGAAGGCCATGAGCTGGCCCTCCAACCTCATCCCTGCCCCGCCCACCCCATCTGCCTGGGGCCTCTGCCCTCGCAGTGCTCTCCCCCTGCATAGCTCAGCTGTGTCCCCTCCTTGAGCAAGCGATGCTTCTGCTCCCTGTTCCTTCCCCTTGAGCCTTTGGTCCACTTCAGAGTACTTCCCTAACACCTGGCCACTGGGGGTGGGTTTTTAATAGAGGATAAAATTTGCCATTGTCCCCATTTCTAAGTGTACAGTTCAGTAGTGTTAAATACACTGACACTGTTGGGCAGCCCATCTCCAGAACCCTGTTCTTGCAAAACCACAACTTTGTAGCTATTAACCAGCAACTCCCCTTTTCTCCCCAGCCCCCACTCCCCAGCATTCTGGTTTGTGTCTGTGAATCGAACTATATACACCTGCAGGTTCATCTGTGCTGTAGCCCACGACAGGATTTCCTTCCTTTTTAAGGCTGAGTAATATTCTGTTGTGGGTCTATATAATGCATTTTGTTTGTCCATTCATCTGTCAGTAGACACTTGAGTCATTTCTACCTTTGGCTATTGTGAAAAGTGTTGCTATGAACATGGGTACACAAATAGTACTTGGAGATCCGGCTTTCAGTTGTTTCGAGCATATACCCCGAAGTGGAATTGCAGGATCATACGGTAACTCTATTTTTAATTTTTTTTTAATGGAAATATAGTTGACCTACAATGTTGTATTAGTTTCAGGTGTACAACATAGTGATTGGACAATTCTGTACACAGCACTGGGCTCACCACCCTAGGTGTTGTCACCATACGACGTTATTACAGTGTTGTTGACTCTATTCCCTATGCTGTACTTTTCACCCCCCTGACTTAGTTTATAACTGGTAGGGTGTACCTCTTAATCCCCTTCACTTATTTCACCCATCCCCTACCCCCACCCTCGGGCAGACACCAGCTTGCTCTCTGTATATAGGAGTCTGGTTGTTTTTTTGTTTTTTACATGCCACCTATAAGTGAAACCATAAGGTATTTTTATTTCTCTGACTTCACTTAGCATAGTACCCATCGGGTCCATCCATACTGTCACAAATGGCAAGATCTCCTTTTTTTATGGCTGAGTACTATCCGATTACATCTTCTTTCTCCATTCCCATCTTCTCAGTGGACCCTCAGGGTGCTTCCATAATGTGGCTGTTATAAATACTGCTGCAGTAAACATAGGGGTGCAGATATCTTTCCAGATGACTGATTTCATTTGCTTTGGGTCAATACCCATAGTAGAATTGCTGGATTGTATGGTAGTTCTATTTCTATTTTTGGGGTGGGGGGAACCTCCATACTGTTTTCCACAGTGGTTGGACCAATTTACATTCCCACTACAGTGCACAAGGCTCTCTATTCTCCACGTTGTCACCAACACTTATTTCTTGTTTGATTCTAGCCATCTGACAGGTGTGATGTATTCTCCCGTTGTGGTTTTGATTTTGATGATGAGTGATGAGCATCTTTTCATGTGTCGGCCATCTGGATGTCTTCTGTGGAAACATGTTTATTCAGGTCCTCTGCCCATCTTTAATCAGATTGTGTGTGTTGACTTGTATAAATTCTTTATATATTTTGCATATTAACCCCTTATTGGATAAATCATTTGCAAATACCTTCTTCCATTCTGTAGGTTGCTTTTTTGTTTTGTTGATTATTTCCTTTGCAGAAGCTTTTTATTTTGGAGTAGGCCCAATAGTTTATTTTTGCTTTTGTTTCTCTTACCTCAGGGGACAGATCCAAAAAAAAGTTGCTAAGGCTGATGTCCAAGAGACTACTGCCTGTGTGTTTGTTTAGGAGTTTTTATGGCTTCAGATCTTATGTTTAGGTCTTTCATCCATTTTGAATTTACTATTTTTAATATTTTAGGAACTACCATACTGCTTTCCATAGTGACTATCCCATTTTACGGTCCCACAATCTGTGTACAAAAGCTCCAGTTTATCTACGTCCTCACCAACACTTGTTATTTCCTGTCTTTTGGTGGTTTTTTTAAAAAAAATGGTAGACATTCTAATGGATGGGAGGTTGTATCATCGTTTTGATTTGCATTTCCCTAATGATAGTGATGGTGGGCACTTTGTCATATACCTGTTGGCCATTCGTATATCTTTTTTTTTTTTTGATAAATGTCTATTCAGGTCCTTTGCCCATTTTTTAATCTGGTGGTTTGTGTGGGTTTTTTTTGTTTGTTTTTTTTTTGTTTGTTGTTGCTGCTGCTGTATTGTAGTTTTAGCCTCCGGTTTTTTAGTGTGAGGATTTGGTGTGCACTCACTCTGCTTCAGGAAGGCAGGGCCGGGCCCACCTTGTTCATGGTCTTCTCCTGGTGCCCCGAATGGAGCCCGTGCATGTGGGCTATTTGTTGATGGAAAAACATGCGTGTCGCTCTCAACGGCGAAGGGATGAAAGACTGTATTAAGTCATGCACTCATTCTTGTTTCAAGAGGGATCGAAAGCAAGGGTCGCATCTCTTTGGAACCATGGTATTTGGGGGGTGAAGAGCGGCAGGTGGCCCTGAAGAGGCTTTAAAGAAGATAATCCAAAGTTGACCGGTGTTGTCTCACTACTCTGGGGCCGTGCTTGTTTGGTTGAGTATAAATCCCATTTTGCCTGGTAATGCTGGTCTCGACAAAACTTTGCATGTGTTTGTTTTATGGTTTCAAACTATGCCCCCGTCGAGTGTGTGTGCTTTGGTCCTCCCTTCTGAAGGAGGTGGGGCAAGTATCCTCTCACCTCTAGTGCCTTCTCCAGCCCCCATGCCTGCCTCTTCCCCATGCACCGCCCCCCGCCCCCCCGCCCCCAGCCCTCAGCCCCTGGGTGGGCCCGGTGCCGCGTGCTGCCCCTTCTCACCGATGGCCATCCTCCTGCTTTACTGCAGGCCCCTGTGGTTCCTGACGTGGATCACGGCGGCAGATCCTGACTGGTGTTTTCACCTCCAGGCACGCCGTCATTCACCGTTGCCAGAGTCCACTTCCCCGAACCCGTATTTCATCATTTGCCTGTTGAATCTGAATTCTCCGGTGTGTCCGTGTTGCCCTCAGGATCAAGTCCACCCCCTTTCACGGGGCACCCAGGGCATTCACCGTGACCTCCCCCGCCACCCCGGCCTCATCCCCTGCATCCTCTGCCTCGATGCTTCTACCCCCTGACCACCCACGCCTACCCCCGGGGCTCCGACGTCGTCCTCTCCTAACCCCCTGACCTGCTCCCCGCCACACCACCCCAGCCGGCGTTGGGCCCTGGCCTGCCGCGGCTCGCTGGGGCGCTCTGTGTGCCTCTTGGCCCCGTGTGCCTGTCCGTGGGGTCAGTGTCCGTTTGCTTGTCCGTCTCCTCACCGGTCTGTGTGCTCCGAAGCTGGGCCAGTGTCTCCCATCTCCACACTTCGGCAGTTAGCCCAGGGCCCTTCATGGGCAGGTCCTCGTGGAAAGGTGGCAGCAGAGGAAACAGGCAAGTCTGTCCGACCTCGGGGCTCCCAGGCTTGCTGCCCTCCCACCCCTCGGCACTGTGGACTGTCCGTTCTCCCAAGTCCAGGGTGGCAGAGGGCGGGGTGGGGCTCTGCTCCGTTCTGTGGCCACCCCGAACCTCCCCGACCCCTGTCTACCTTCTGGTAAATGCATCCCGGCAGAGAGCGATGACTCATAGGTGTGTGACTCAGCGTGCATGCGGCACAGCTGGAACGACAGCCGTGTGTCTGCTGGGCCGAGGCCAGGGGCGCTTTGCAGAGCAGCAGAGATCCAGGCCTGGGTTCACGAGCCCTGGTACCCCTAGCCTGCTAACTGGAATGAAGGTAGAAACCCTCCTCTGTCCATGGAACACGAGGCTGCCACTGCAGAGCTTTACAAGACTTGTATGTCTGGGATTCTTGTCTAATTTATTGCCGTTAAATGATACTTCAGCCAGCTACCGTTTATTGCATGCTCGCCATGGGTGTAGACACTGTGATCAGCATCTTGCATACAAATTATTTCACTTAATGTTCACACTAGCCCAACAACAAAAATAGTCACAAATACATCTGTAGCCCTTACGCTGTGCTAGGTAGAGTTCTGAGCCCTTGCATTGAAGTCCTCTGATTCTCAGGGAAACCCTACGATACGGGAACTGCTTTTACCCTCATTTTACAGATAAGGAAATTGAGGCACAGACAGGTGTCCCAACATCACATAGGAAATGACAGAGCTGTGATACAGACTCAGGCTTCTGAGTCCACACTTCTAACCCCCACTGCGTGCTTCTCTAATGAAGGCTGCAGTCCCATCTTACAGGGAAGGAAATTGCGGCTCACAGAGGTTGGTTACTTCTGCCTGGTCACACAGCCAGGGTGAGCTGGAGAGTGCTTGTCTCCCACCCTGCCTCCTAACCACCATGCTCTCCTGCCCAGAGGTAGGGGAGGTAGTCATCATGGCAATGTACTTGGGTCTCCTTAACCCTCCCTGTCGGCACTTCCCAAGGGCCACGGCCAGAGGTTGGGTAGGATTCTGGGGAAGAAACTGTCTTCTGCATCTAGGGGTACAGCACGGCACATTCTGCTTCAGAGGTCTCCAGTTTGGGGGTCCCACAGCACTTCCTCAGCCCGGGGATGCCGATGTGGCTCTTCTTGCCTCCCTAGATAGTGAGACCGTTCACTACCACTATGGGCCCAAGGACCTGGTCACCATCTTGTTCTACGTCTTCATCACCATCATCCTGCATGCTGTGGTTCAGGAGTACATTTTAGACGTGAGTGACGTGTGTGGGTCCTGACATCATCAGAAGCTGGGGAGATGCCACGGGTGGTGGGGCCTCACCCCAGAGGAGACTGCAGCTCTGGGCCCCTTTGCCTCCTAATTTGTGTGCCCTGATTGGTCCTATTGATTGGACATCCCTTGCCACACACCGTGGTTTCTGTCCCCGCTCACAGCTTTCTTAGTGTGGGGGACGACAGCACTTAATGATGTGAGGGCGTCACACACCTGAAATGGCAGGGCAGCATCCTTATGGGTCTGTCCTATAGCCTGATCGGGGGATGTTTTCTCTACATCTAGGCTGAAGACCTCCATCTTGCCACTTCCTCAAAATGCTTGCCTTGAACTGAGTGCTCTGTGCACACAGCAGGCTTACACGGACTAGCCCGGGTCATGGCCACCTGCTGCCCTTTCATGGGTGGGAAATGGGAGTTCGAAGCCCACCCGTTACCCATCCACCTGCATATATTAACATGTAGGATTCTCTGTATTCCTTAGAAAATCAGCAAACGGCTTCACCTCTCCAAGGTCAAACACAGCAAGTTCAACGAATCTGGGCAGCTGGTCATCTTTCATCTCAGCTCGGTGGTATGGTGCTTCTACGTGGTGGTGACGGTGAGTGGCCCTGGGGACTGGGGCCTGGGCTGCTGGTGGCGCGTCTCTTCTCGGATTGCTAATAAAATAACTGCGGGGCTGAGCTGGGAAGGAACAGAAGCGGGAGCGGTTTGTAAAAACTTTGAGCAGTCTCTTGGAACTGAAGCTATTTTTGCATCCTCATGGTATGAGAGGGGCCAAGTGGTATAGCTGCTCTTTTATAGCTGAAGAGAGCCCTCTCGTCCAAAAATAAGCCCGAGTTCTCGTTACGATGGGTTGGTACGAGAACGATACCGTGCATCTCCATAGCACTGCTCATTTGACTGGGTCCTCCTACCAATGCTATCCAGTGAGAGGAGTCTTATTCTGGTTCCCATGTTAATGGTTTGAAGACCTCCAAGATTGAATTTTGCAGTGTCCCCATGGTCACGTGGTTCAGAAGCGGCAAGGACCAGACTTGGACTTAGGAGTCTGGTTCCAGGTCCAGGACACTTTCTGTTTTCCCATATTGGCCTCCTGCAAACAAGGCCAGCCTCCCCCCAGTCCGCACATCAAATCCTGTGCAAATCCATGCCCTTCCCACAAGTGCCTGGAGGACCAGACAACTTATCTACCTCTCCTTTCTACACAAAAGGACTCTTCTTTCAAGCAGCCGTCGATACGGTAGAATTCCTTTGTAGCAGGGAATGTGGACAGCCCTTTGGGGTTCACTGTAGCAAGACCCGGCCTGTGGTGCATGACCGTGGTTAATTAGCAGCCCCCTGCCCCCACTTGGAGCACCTCCCGTCTGGAACTTGGTCTCTTTCCCAAGAGCTAGAATTGTCCTGTGAGAAATGCAGGCCCGGGCTTGGAAAATTCAGCAACCCTGTGATCTTTTAGAAGTTCCCTTCCCTGTCTTCCACTGACCTCTCACCCGCTTCCTCTTCCTTCAGTGACCGCGATGAGCTTTCATATCCTAAGGAACTCTGCTTCCAGAGCCGAACGCTGAATTCCTATTCTGAAAGCGGGAGTCAGCATGTCCTTTCGTATTTTGCTTCTGTTTCTACTATCTAATCATGGAACAGTCTTCCTAGCCAGAACATTAGGAGTTTTAAATGCCAGGACCACAGGCTTCTGTCCCCCTCAAGAGGGACTGCCCTGTTACACTGTCCCCGGGGGAAGACCTGCAGTGTGGCCTGTGTGAGGAGCACCCCCTGCTGTTGTGCAGTGCACGTCCTGGCCCCCCAGGTCTGGGTAACGCTGGATGCCAGAGCTCTTCTGCCAACCGCTCAGTGTTTGGTTCCTGCAGCCTGCGGAGTCCCCTCGGCTGCTTTGAGGCAGAACGGTCTCAGGGTCTTTCAGAAGAAGCATTGCCTCATCTCTGGATCACTTTTACCCAAGTCAAGTGCTGCCTCACCCCCAGACATTCCACCCGAGCTGTGACACATTTAGACAGATTCTGGAGGCCAAAAGCCATGTTACTAACACCCCTTCCAGAATGTTAAATGCTCAGCAGTTCTGTCTTTGCTTCTCTCAGGCCTGCAAGGGCTTGAAAATGATGATGGCTCCTTAGTCTGGGAGCAGGCAGTACTTTACGTGGGGGAGCTCACAACAGGCTTTTATTATGGGGACAGCCAGGTGCCCCACTCAACATCTTCTGTAGGAAGTGGAGACCCGGGGGACCCTGGAAAGCTCTAGTGACCCCAACTCCTAGTAGCACCATGCAGCCCCTGGCCCTCAGCTGCTCCATCTGCACCGTCCTGTGGGGAATGAAGGTGATTGAAGAAGAGGAGAGAGGGTAGTTTTGTAAAAGGAGTGGAAAGTAGCTAGTGTTTTTTAAATGCTATTTTTCTGTGAGGATGAGATATTTTTTGGTCTTCTTTCTTTCCCCGCCCACATTCAGCTCATCAGCAGGGTCCGCCCCCCGCCCCACTGCAGAGCGTGTCGAGGTGTGGTCCCCGCTTTCTGCCTTGGGCCTGTGGTCCGCAGGGGAGATTTGGGGACCCTGGCAGTACGCTGCTGGCATCGGTGGCCGGAGGCCAGGGATGCCACCGAATGTCCTGCCATGCACAGGCCCGCCGCCACGACCGAGGCTTGTCCGGCCCCAGGTGTCAGGAGTGCCGAGGCTGGGGAATCCCGCTGTGCAGTCCAAGCCGCCATCCTCTCTCACCTGGACCACTGACTGTCCTCCCAGAAGGAGGCTGTTTTCACTCCGGTGGCCTGCCACCCAGATCCACTTTCTGCTTAGCCAGATAGGGCTTTTTGGAACATAAGTCCTGCACCCTTGTGTCAAAGCTGCCGTCCCACTTGCAGTGAAGGCGTTTTCTTCCTCACTCCTGTGATCTGGGTCCCCCCTCTTCTCACGGCTGCTCTTCCGCTCCTGGCCCTCGGGCTCTGCAGGGGTGGTTCCTCCGCCCAGATGCTCCATCCCCTGAATCCGTGGCTGGCTCCTCCTTCCCATCGAAGTCTCCACCTCAGAGTCTCCTCCTCAGGACCCCCTGCCCCACAGCATGTACTGTGTACCCTCCACCCGGTGCTGTGGGGTTTTTCTCGTTCACCTGTGTGTGCTCTGCTGTCCGTCGGTCTGTCCCACTAGCCCCTGAGCTGCTCGTGAACAGCCCGTGCCCACCACCGTGTCTTGCGTGCAGAGCCTGGCAGGTACTGCGCGCTCACGAAGTTGTGCTTGTGAGAATGAGGGACTAAGCTACAGGCCCGTCTTCTTGCTCTGGCCCCCAGCAGTTTTTAAAATCATGAGTCTCTTGTGTTTATAAACTCATAGGTCTATTAAAAAGTGAGCAAGACGCAAAAGTTTTTTAGAAAACATTCCTCAGATCCCTCCCCCTAAAATAACTGGGTTTTGGGGGGTGCTTGATCCAGACATTTCTCTCTGCATTTATACAAGCAGAGTGAGGACAGCATGGCTGGACCAACCAGTAATGCGGGAGGTCAACCTCCTTACTTATCCTCGACCTTTGAACTACTGACTATTGGTTGTTAGAAGACAAGACAAGACAGCCATGCTCTACTGGGGGGAGCAGGGTGGGCAGGCGTCTGGTCTCCCCTGCCCAACTTCCTTGGGAGGTCTTCGTTCATATCTAAAACCTGAAGTCTGATGCTTTGTGAGAGCCTGCTAGAGGGAAGGCCCCTCACTCTGGACCGATTTCTATTAAGAGCTTGGCCACTTAGAGCAGAACTCGAGTATGTGATTGTTCCTAAAGGATGAACGATGTTGGTATGTCTGAGTCTAGGTAGCAACCGGCTGTGTTATGACTGGGTTCTGCCGTTTCTGTGGTTCTGTTGGTCTGTTCACCGACAGGAAGGCTGTGGGGGCAAAGGGAGAGATCGTTCCAGTTTGCCCGGGCCTCCCTTAGCTCCTAGGTTAAGGAGAGAACAAAGGACTTCAGGAGTTCCCCCAGCACCTCTGCCAGTGCCTGTCGGGGACCAGGATTGGGGCAGGGCTGCCACACGCTCGGCCCCCTGGGATCTCAGGTCCTTGGCTTCTGGCCCCCAGAGGGCACCCCGGCCCTGGGCCGCCCTCGGGCAGCTGCCTGGCCTGAGGTCTGGAAAAGGCTGTTCTCAGAGCAGTGAGTCATTTTCCTGACTCCCCCGCCCTCCTCCCTGCACTCCTTCCCTGCGCTCCCTGAGGACCAGACATTCACAAGCAGGCAGCATTTTTCTGGGGGATTGTTGGCTTCAAACTTCTGACCTCCTTGTCTCCTAAGAAAAGGGGCCAAGCCGAGGAGGGTTCCTGTTTATTTTTTAAAGATTTTATTTGTTAGCGAGCACGAGAGGGGGGAGGGTCAGAGGGAGAAGCAGACTCCCCGCTGAGCAGGGAGCCCGATGCGGGACTCGATCCCGGCACTCCAGGGTCATGACCCGAGCCGAAGGCAGTCACCCAACCAACTGAGCCACCCAGGCGCCCGAGGGTTCCTGTTTAAAATCACAAGGTCATCGGGGCTTTAGGTTCTCTCAGTGTGGTTTCTCTTGGCCAGTCTCTCTTCGGGCAGAAATGTCCCTCCCACCTCAGTCCCAGATGGACCATTTTCTTCCTTAAGTACATTGCTGCTTCCTTGGGATGTTCTCACTGGAGATTTCCCTGGAATGACGGGGTCATACTGTCCTAACCTTCTCTGAGGGGCTAATAAGAGCCTCGCTCTTCCCTCAGAAGAGAGAAAGTGCCTAACGCATTCATCATTGATTCATTCATTCAACAAGTTTTTATCGGATTCTTGTAATGTCAGCCGACTCTTGCTCACAGAGGAGTGTTTCCTCTTGTGTTTTGTAACTTTGGATTACAGACTCTTTAGCACGGTTTTAGGTGTGAGAATCCTGTACATCCTTGGATGAGAGTATGCCCCAGTCCCCAGTGGTATCACTGGCCCAACAGTATTAATACTACTAACTTCTAAGCTTTGTAGTTCTTGGACCATATGAGGGGTGTAAGTTTGAACTCCAAACCCATGTGAAAGTGAACCTGAGGTTACAGATTTTCAAGGGATAATATATTTTGCTTTTCATCCTGAGCCCAGGATGAGCAGAAAGCTTCTTTAATCCCTCTTTATTGGTTGTCAGACTGTAGTCTACCCTTTCTCTAGTCTAACCCAAACTAGTGCAGACTCTAGTCTAACCGTCTTTTGTAGCTCTTCAGGGGTCCTGATTTTACACAAGGGTCTTGGATTCCACCTCTGGAGGCCCTGTCTTCTGTTCTCACGTGGGCACAAACACCCCGGCCCCAAGACTAGTGCCCTCTGAGCTGCCCCAGCCTCCCCTCACTGCTCTGGCTTTTAGCCTCCTGTCCCTTGGAGATCCCTTTCTGGGAAGACCCTTTGCATTTAAGAGCATTGTTAGATGTCATCCAGCATTTCTAGACGTTTCATGATGGGAGAGTTTTCAGGTTACTTCCCTTACTCTAGGCCCTGGGCTAGGTGCTGGAGGTATAAAGGAGGGCATGATAGGACCCTGGTGGGAAGGAACTTGTGGAGTAATGGAGACCTCTCATGATGATGACCCAGTGTGGTCGGCACTTAGGAGTCCTATGGGGTGAGGCCTCCTGGGGAAGCCTGTGCGGTCCTGCATTCTTTTTATTCATAGCGATGCGAAAAGCCAAACTAGGCTTTTCGTTTTTCCAGTCCACTTGCTTATTCATTCTACAAGCATTTCCTGAGTGCCTTCATGCCAGGCATAATGCTAGACGCATAAACATAAGCTATAACATTTATTTCTAACAATAACTCTGCGAGGGTATTTTTATCCTCATTTTCAGACGAGCCAACTGAAGTTTAGGGAGACTAACTTGCCCAGAGGATACAACCGGTGAGTGCCAGGCCCACGTCCGGACACAGGTCTTTAGCCCCCAGACTAGGGCTCTTTCTGCAATGTCATGGCTCTGTCACAGTGAAGAAGCCGGCTGAGGGCCGGGTGGCTCCCGTGCAGAGAGAGAGCCTTCATTTTTCATGTTTCCTGTCTCTTCCTCTTTCTGGCAGCTGGGGATTGGGTGCGCCTCTGGCCCTGCCCAGGGCCCCAGCGGGTCTCCTAGCCACCTGTCTAAAGGCCGTCTCTCCTTGCCCACTACAGGAAGGATATTTAACAAACCCAAGAAGCCTCTGGGAAGACTACCCACATGTGTGCCTCCCGTGAGTATTCGCAGGACTGTGTCTCCAGGGAGCAGCAAGCCGGGCCGGCTGGCCGGAGCCGCTCACAGCCCGAGCCTTTTTGGGAACCGTGTTGCACACGGCAGTCTTGTCTGGGCACTGCTTCCTGCTAGTGCGCTTGACTGGAGACTCCCAAAATGATGTCTCCTCACTAGCCCCTGTCACAGAGGTGATGTCTTAGCTTCGCCGGCGGAGGCTGGGTGGCCTAGAAATTATACAACAGAAATTTATTGCTCGCAGTTCTGGAGCCTGAAAAGCCCAGGATTTGGTGTCTGGTGAGGGTCTGCTTCTGGGTTCAGAGAGGGCGATTTTCTGGTGGTGTCCTCACGTGGAGAAGCCTGGGAGGAGCTCTCTGGGGTCTCTTTTACAAAGGGCACAGTTCCCATTAATGAGGTCCCCGCCCCCATGACTAAATCACCTCCCTAAGGCCCCACCTCCTAATACCGTCACACGAGGATTCGGATTTCAGCATCTGAATTTTGAGGGACACCCACTTTCAGCCAGCAGCAGGTGCCTACACCGTCAGAGACCGATAATGGAAACGGAGCATCTCCGGAAAATTCTCTGGGCTTCGTACCTTCTTGATGACCTGCACCCCTTCACAGCACACCTTCCTCCCAGCCTTGCGCGGCCGGTGCGCCTTCTCTCCTGCTCTGTGCTGCCGAGACAACCAGGAGGGTCTGCCTCCCGTGGGAGGCCCTCGGTGCCTTTCCTGAGACCCTTCAGAACAACAGCAAAGGGCTTAGAGCTGCTATGCCTCCTTTGCCACTTAGCTCTGTTCACTCTATTTCAATAGAGTGGTGCCCCATCTTGACTGTCCGTGCTCAGCCTTCCCCTCTCGGAGCCAAGGAACCCTCGTCTGTACTCTCTTCACCGTTTTTGTTTCCTTCCGTGGACTCTGCCTCCCGTGGAGCGCTCTGGTCTGTGGAGCAGGGTCCCTGGGCTCGGGGCCTCCCTCCGGCTCCTGGACCAGCTCCTCCCACAGCCCTGGCCCCCCCCCCCCCCGCCCCGGCCCCGTGCTCGTCCCTCCCATGTGACTCATTCCCTTGTCTCCAGCTTCCAGGTGAAGTTTTTCTACCTGTGTCAGCTGGCCTACTGGCTGCACGCACTTCCTGAGCTGTACTTCCAGAAGGTACGGAAGGTGAGTACTCCCCATCTGGGAAGCCCCGTGTCCCCCACACCCCCTGCAGTAAGCTGCTGGGCCTGAGCTGGGTGGGCTGTGTTGGCGGGTTGATGAAGATGCTGAGCCAGCAAAGTCTCTGCAAAGATCTCCCAGAGAGCAGGCCACCAGCGCGTCTCCTGCCTCCCACGCTAGATGTGTTGCTTTGCGGGAGGTCTACCTCTTGTCTTCCAGATAGCGGATCAGAGGTTTTGGCCTTTCTCGGTCTTTTTTTTTTTTTTTTCCCCTTAAATAGCCTCCCTCTGAATTATTTCCAAAAACCCTGTTCCCCAGTCCCTGTCTCTTCTTTCTCAACCCAGTCCCGCCCCGTGGACTGGAAGCTGGTGCCTCGCCCTCTGGCTTGCCAGCAACCTGGTGCGTGGGCCTCCGGCGTGATCTGGGACTGGCTGGGTGAGAGCAGCCCGGCCCGGCCCACCGTCATCCCTCTGCACCTCCCCTCCGTTCCTGCATCTGGAGTTAGGGGCGGGGAGGGCATGTTTACCGTCTGCTTCTCTTATTTGCAGGAGGAAATCCCCCGTCAGCTGCAGTACATTTGTCTGTACTTGGCCCACATAGCTGGAGCATACCTCTTAAAGTGAGTGAGACCCCGAGCCGGTCAGATTGCCATGCCCTTGTACGTCCATGCAGCTCTCCACACAGGCACTTGATGAGGCATTTATTAGACACCTTCTGTTTGCCAAGCACCATGCGAGACCTGGGAACACAAAGGTGGCAATTGCTTTATCTTGAGCGGTTCATGCTTAGCCCAGTGGGAGAGACTGTTGTCGGCACAGGTCAGGACCGCTCAGTGTGACCAGCGTGGGGCTACAGTACGTATGCTCGGCTGTGGGAACCCAGAAGAGTGACTCAGTCCCCCTGACACAGAGCCAGGGGAGGCTTCGAGGGATGTTGGCACTTGAACCATAGCTTTGAAGTCGCAGGAGTTGCCATAGTGTTTGGCCTGGAGTGTCTCTTACAGAAAGAATCCTGTTGATGAGTAGGATATGTCATTGCTAACTTGGAATTTTCTTGAGCTTTATCTGTGCAGCGTAGAACACCCTATACTTCTCTGGGCCGACATTTTGAGGGTTTGCGATGGATAACTTTCTGCTAGGCTCCCTGGAGGTCCCTGAGCCCATCATCTCCCAGACCCTCACGGCTGGCGTCCTGTGAGGGTGACCGGCCTGGGGTAATGGAGTTAGGAGGAAGGCGGCTCTTGCATCTGCTCTCTTATCACTGGCGGCTGATACGGCATCAACTCCTGGCTGGGTCTTTGGGGAGCAAAGGTTATATGGCGGGATGATCTCTGTGCTTGTGCAGCACCCAGCAGCGTGCGGTGAGGACCTGGGTGAGAATGTGCAGGCAGGACCAGGTAGAAAGAGAGCTTCCTGCTGTTGGGTCCTTGCTGTACCGTCACTGTTCCTCCCAAAGACAGGAGATGCTCTAGGATCTGTTTATCTCACGTCTGACATGTCCCAGGGAAGGAGATGGACAGAAGTCTGACCCTGTTCAGGCAGAGTCCTGTGATTCTTGTTTTGGAATCAGAATAGAACCAAGAGGGCAGGGAGCAGCAGATCCTCCAAAATGAAGCCCATTCCATTCCCCGGTGATGCTGGTGCAGCCGTGTCTCTGCTCGTGTAAGGACCATGATCTCCCTTCTCCTCCATCCTTTTTCAGAAGGGAGTGGGAGAAAAGGAGAGATACAGGATTTCCCCAGGAAGACACACCTCTGAAATGCCAACTGATGCCTTGGTGTTTGTTTTGGTGAAGAGCTTGACTTTTAGAGGCCTTCACTCACTCAGCACATTACCTGAGCTCCTCCCCGGGCCAGGCGCTGCCTTAGGAGCTGCGGTCCCATCTGGCTGAAGGCAGACCAAGGCCTTGCTTTCCTGGGGTGTCCATTCTAGCGGGTGGCAGACCATTAAGAAAACTGAGTTTGCAGGCACCTGGGTGGCTTAGTCCGTTGAGCGTCTGACTCTTGATGTTGGCTCAGGTCATGATCTCAGGGTTGTGAGATCGAAACCGGCATTGGACTCTGTGCTGGGTGTGGAGCCTGCTTGGGATTCTCTCTCCCTCTGCCCCTACCCTGTTCCTCTCTTAAAAAGAAGGAAAGAAAAAATAGTTTCCTGTGGTGCTAAGTGTGATGAAGAGAATAATAAAGCTGGGTAATGGGAGAGAGGGACTTGTCTCCTTGGCACCTTTGTCATGCGGACGGAAGACTCTCTGAGGTGACTCAAGTGGAGGCAGGAATGACAAGACTCAGGCACGTGAAGATCTGGGGGGCCAGCAGTGCGGGCAGAGAAACTGCAGGTCAGAGGCCCTGAGGTGGGAGTGGGTGTAAAGCCCACTGTGGCCCGAGTGCCGAAAGTGAGGTTTGAGATGAGGTCACAGGCAAGATCATGTTGGACTTTCCAGGTTATGTGAGGACGTTGGCTAGTTTTCACGTCATTCTCTCGAGCATCCTCAGGATCCCGAGACCCTCCCCGTCCATCTTGCCCTGCCTTGGTCTCGGTGGAAGCTGCGGGATCCGCAGTTAGCACTGCCTGTGGGAGCGCTCCCACATCATTTCACTTTGCAGTCCTTCTGCGTGTATTTGAACGACAGTTGACCTTCTGTAGCAAACTGCCTAAGGAAATCCGTAAAGACCCCGTGCCTGGAATTGAGCAGAGGGGGGTGTCTGAGTGGGTGGTGCTAATGTTTTAAGAGGCTGGTTCATTAGCACACATTTTTGCGTTAGGTTGAGTTTTGCCTCTCCGTGTACCTCTTAGCTGCGAAGACTTTGATAATGAAAAACCAGACGGTGGGAATCCCTTGTATTTCTACCTGCAAGGCTTGGCCCCTTGTTCTGAGCACCTTTTATGTGCTTGGTCCCAGGCTGGGCGAAGCATGCAAAGGGACAGGTGCCGTGAGAGCCAAAGCCCAGGTTCACTGTGGGGGGGGCGGGGGGCGGCGCCGGACCCAGACAGGCCCGGTGGACAGCCAGGGGTTTCAGTATTCCCTTAAAGAATCCTGCAGGCTGAGGAGGGCCAGCCGGGGAGAGGAGGCGTGGAGTGCGGACCGCAGGGTGCCTCTGCTCTCCATGGCGCCCGGCGGGAGGACTGTGAGGCTTGTCCTTTGCTCCCAGCCTGAGCCGCCTGGGCCTCATCTTGCTGCTGCTGCAGTACTGCACCGAGTTCCTCTTCCACATGGCTCGACTCTTCTACTTCGCAGACGAGAACAACGAGAAGCTGTGAGTGGCGTGAGGCCGGCTGGTCGGTTCGGAGGTGCCGTGGGCAGGGCCCTCCTGTGAGGTCTGCCTGGTGGGAGGCTCCTGCCTGGGGTATGAGCTGCCCCTTACCTGTAGGCGGCACCCCGAGACTGTTTTTCGGAGCCTCTTACTCTAGATCTCTCCTCCCTCCCTCGGACACCCTACTCAGCTACCCTTGCATGCTCTTTCCATGTGGGGTTGCTTCCAGAGAAGTGGGTGAAGGTTCCCTCATGGGCCCTACAGGCTGACGTCCCCTCTCCGCCTCCCCGAGCAGGTTTAATGCCTGGGCTGCTGTATTTGGGGTCACCCGCCTCTTCAGCCTCACCCTCGCTGTGCTGGCCATCGGCTTTGGACTGGCTCGCATGGAAAACCAGGCCTTTGACCCCGAGAAAGGGAACTTCAACACCTTACTTTGCAGGTGAGTTGGGAAGAAGCCCAAGGAGAGAAATTAAGGCTCCCTGAGCCCTGCCAGGAGCCTCCTGAACTTGGCACAGTTTGGAAGGTCAGGGGGTAACAGACCCCTGAGTCTCCTGCACATTGATGTTTCACTGGAGATCTCTAGACAGCAGGCCCGAGAGGAGAAGGAATACCAGCCTTCTGCTTCCGGCAAGCCCATCCTCACTGGCCGGCCTGGCCTGGCCTGCTGAGACTGCGGTCAGGGTCCTCGAGTGGGAGTCCCCTTGCCCTTGCCCAGTGCTTCGTGGTGCAAGATGCGTGTCCTGTCCAGGCCCTCGATTTACAGCCACGCTTGGACTCTGTATGGTGGTGTGCTAGGCAGCTTGGCCAGTGGCCTTCCCCAGCGGGGAAATGGGGCCGGGGGGGGGGGGGGGGGAGGCAGGGAGGAAGCCATTGTGTTTCCAGGCGACCCTGGGGCCTGGGAGGGTGTGTGATTTGTCCGCTGTTGCTCAGCTTTCAAAGTGGCATGCTAAATGAGAAGCCACTCTTCTAGAATTATTTTGCTGTATCTTGACTCAATTCATTTGAATTCTTTCACTCTATATATGAAGCTTAAAGGAGTCCCGTTCTGTGCTGTGGGTACAAAAGAGACCATGGAGGGCATTTGACTAGGGAGTTGGACGTGCGCCTGTCACCTCCTCCTCCCTGGTCTCCCGTGCCCCCATCCCTCTGTCAGCACCCGTCCAGTGTGCTTGCGGGGAGACTGGCACGCTCTCCAGGGTGCGGGTGGCGGGGTGGGGGCTGCGGGGCGCCCCCCCCCCCGCCCCTGAGCCTGGCCCCCGGTCCCTGGCCCTCGGTCCTCTGCAGGCTCTGCATGCTGCTGCTGGTGTGTGCTGCCCAGGCCTGGCTCATGTGGCGCTTCATCCACTCCCAGCTGCGGCACTGGCGGGAGTACTGGAACGAGCAGAGTGCCAAGCGGAGAGTCCCAGCTGCCCCCAGACTGCCAGCCAGGCTCATCAAGAGGGAGTCTGGTGAGTGCCAGGCCCCCGGGCAGGTAGCGGGTACTGTCTGGGAGGGATGGGGAGGAGCGCAGGCCCCAGGCCCCGCAGGCTCTCCTTGGACCAGTCCTTCCCTGGGCCCTGGCTCTTGGGCTCCTGCCGGGGCCTGACTGGCACGTGGTTGGGCGGGGGCCAGGGCCACGTGGTGGGGGTGGGGCTGGCCATGGTGGGGCAGGGTGGGGAGCTCTGGCGGGAAGCGTGTCCTCGAAGTGGCTTCTGAACGCCAGCCAAGATCTGCCTCCTTGTTGCCCGGGTGGCTCTGTCCTCACCTGCCCTCTCGTTCTGCGTCACGCCATGTGCCTGCCTCCCAGGCTGTTGGCTCGTCTTCTGTCTTAGGGAGTGACTCGGGGACACGGTGCCAGGTGGGCAGCAGGGGTGGGACGCCCACCTCTCCTGTGGCCTGGCCACACTCCCATAACCGCCGGCCCCAGGCCCCAGGCCCCAGCCAGCCCTTGCCCTTTCGGTCCAGCCTGTGCTCTGACTCACCTGCCTCTCTCCAGGTGCGGCCGCTGGGCAAGGGCTCCTGTGTGTTTGGAGCAGGGCGTGCGCGGCC